CTAAAACAGGGTTCAAAAAAGAACTAGATAAGTTCATGGAGGATAGGTCCATCAATTACTATTAGTCAGGATGGACAGGGATGGTGTCCCCCTAGCCTGTTTGCCAGAAGCTGGGAATGGGCGACGGGATGGATCACTTGATGATTACCTGATCTGTTCATTCCCTCTGGAGTACCTGGCATTGGCCACTGTCGGAAGATGGATCTTTGGTCTGACCCAATATGGCTGTTCTTATGTTCGTATGAGTGGTGTGGGTCTGAGATGGGCTCGTGGTGGTAGTGGTAGACCCTTCCCAAAACCCTTTGGTTGGTTAGGACACCTCGCTTGGGAAACACTGACCTACAGTGTGGGGATTGCTCTCCTTGCTTCCATAGTATTGTTCTCTTCGCATTGTGTAGAATCAGTATCCAGAAATGAAAGGGTAACTTAGCTCTCCCTTATGGACTTACTGTAGTTCCTGTAAATAATTGTTCCGTTGATTTCTGTTTTCACTGTGTCAATTTACTTTCAACTGTTTTCTTTGGGAGTTCTAGAAATCATTTCTTACAACCTAATGGGGTGAGCAAGGGTTATGTAGTCCCATCCCCCCACTCCTCAGTTCAAGGCTCACACAGTGCTCACATGCTCACTCCCTAAGCAGCTCAACTTTGGCTCTCAAAAGAGGGCTCTAGATTTCATGAGAAACAAGAGGCTAATCTGTCACATGACAGTGGCTCCGCAACATAACTCTTGTTAATTGATTGAAAATGCGTGGGCAGGATGGGAATTGCAAAGGGCTGAATCACTCTTGCAACATAATCAGTTACTCATTGATGTGGGCTTTCAGGAGCATAGAGCGGTGCTTCCACACTTTTTACTAAAGGGGACCCATCAACTATATTTGGTCTTTTTGGAGACCCACCATTGTATATATACAGTGTGTGTTCATGTGCGCGCACACATACATACACCCTTCCTCTGCTCCCTGGGGTGCCATTTCAGATTTCAGCGTGGGGGTAACTTTCAACAGGGGCCCAGGGGCCACTTAGGAGAGTCAGCAGCCATCATTTGGAAAACACTGGCATAGATCAACCTGTGCCCAAGCTTTTGGGATTTCACTGTGACCAGGGCTCCATCAATGCAAAGCAGCATTTTGTGTAGTTGTCACACAGTGAATGCCACAACATCTCTTTGCATCTAAAATATACTAAATATTTTTGCTGGCACAGAAAGAATTCTCTGCCTTGCCATGCTGGAAACCCATCTTAGATTTCCAGCCCCAGTATCTTGGTATCTGGACTGTGCGCACTTTGCTTGACTTTACAACCTTAATAATGTTCTTTTCACATAGTTCTGTTTGTGTGCAGTTTCCTAGTTTTTAAAAAAGGTAAACTGAAAAAACAAATTCCATCTTGTGGCATTATATTGATACCCACATGGGTCATCAGCAGGGTTGGAACCGTCAGATCTGCCACACAGACCTCTTCCACTTGTGCTGATGGAGCAACTGATAGTAGTAGTAGGCTGGTATCCTCTGTGTGGACCAGCTCTAGAGGGGAAAGAGACACTTTGACTATTAGTTTCACAGATGTTTGCTGACAGCAGAGGAATGACAAGACTCAGAAACCATGCATTCCATTCCAGGCTCTGGAGTACTGTGTGCGCCCTAGTGGGCATAGACTTTGCTGCTGCCAGTTCCCCTCAAAGGTGTGAACCTTTCTGTCCAGTCCTATCTCTTCCCCACTCCTGTCTTCTCATCGTAGTTCCAGTTTCCTTCCCCAGCAAGACCTAGTCTTCTCACTCCCACTCTGTCTCCTTGCCTAGCCAGTCCCAATCCCCCACCAGTTTCTCAGCTGATCTCTGTCCCTCACCCTGGCCTCCAGTCACCTATTTCCCATTAGCTCCCAATCTCGTTCTCAGGTGCCTCCTCCAAACTCAGTGTCCCATCTCTTCTCCCTTGGACCTTCCAGGTCTTTCTCCCAGTCTCTTTGCCCAGCTAGTTACAGTTCTACCCTTGTACTCCAGTTCCTCATTAGATCTGTCTCCCTTACCACCCTACCACATTTCCTTTCCCCCACCTCACTGGTTCAGTCCTAATCTCCTTGCCCAGCAAGTCCCAGTCCTCCCTCACCAATTGTGACTCCTTATCCAACCTTGTCTGCCCTATCTTGTCTCCCCTCCCTATGTAGTCCCCTCCCCTCCCAGTCCCAGTTTTCCTTTCCCTCTCCTGTGCAGGTCCAGCTCTTGACTCCTCTGCTTTCAAACCAGGCAGCTTCTCCATGCTGCTTAGGCCCAACAGGAAGGTCATTCAGAGGATAGGAGAGACAGGCTCCCTGCTCTCTGCTCTGATGCCTGGACCTGGCACAGCCCACCGCTGCAATTGCAGGGAAAGTTCAGTTCAGACTTGTCCTGGAGCATGCTCATTGCAGAAAAAATCCTTGCGGAATTTAGCTGCTAAAATCTAAAGTCTCTACTGAGCGTGTGAACTGTGATGTTTTTTTCCCCTCAAGTCCCTGCTTCAAAGCATGTGGTTACTAGAGCTTTTAAAAGAAGAGGTTACTAAGGGTACGTCTATACTTACCTCCGGGTCCGGCGGTAAGCAATCGATCTTCTGGGTTCGATTTATCGCGTCTTGTCTAGACGCGATAAGTCGATCCCGGAACTGCTCGCCGTCGACGCCGGTACTCCTGCTCCGCGAGAGGAGTACGCGGAGTCGACGAGGGAGCCTGCCTGCCGCATCTGGACCCACAGTAAGTTCGAACTAAGGGACTTCGACTTCAGTTACGTTATTCACGTAGCTGAAGTTGCGTATCTTAGTTCGAAGTGGGGGGTCAGTGTGGACCAGGCCTAAAATTCTTCACATGGATAAAACAATGTGTGTTCTCAGAAATGGCTGAACCGGTTGGCTGAAAAATTCAGCCTGAGGCAGATACCCGACATGTAAAACTTCAGTCCGAAAGGTTAAGGTTTGCAACGTTATAAGCAAGGGGGAAGGGTCAGGCAAACTTAATAGGTGGTTTCAGAGTAGCAGCCGTGTTAGTCTGTATCCGCAAAAAGAAGAACAGGAGTACTAGTGGCACCTTAGAGACTAACAAATTTATTAGAGCATAAGCTTTCGTGGACTGCAGCCCACTTCTTCGGATGCATATAGAGTGGAATAAATATTGAGGAGATATATATACACACATACAGAGAGCATAAACAGGTGGGAGTTGTCTTACCAACTCTGAGAGGCCAATTAATTAAGAGAAAAAAAACTTTTGAAGTGATAATCAAGCTAGCCCAGTACAGACAGTTTGATAAGAAGTGTGAGAATACTTACAAGGGGAGATAGAATCAATGTTTGTAATGGCTCAGCCATTCCCAGTCCTTATTTTTTTAATAGGTGGTGCTGCCCGTCCCACCTATAAGAAAACATATGGAGCATTAATATATAAACTGTTACAACTGTTCAATGAATGTTCTGCAGAATCAAGCACCTTAAAATTAGTAAATGGCAGACTCACGTTTGCTTGTGCAATTTTAATTCTGCCTCTTGTGATTCTGTCCCACTTACTGAATGAGGCAGGGGTCCTGTGGAAAACAAATAGTATGTGACCATGCAGTTAAACTGTATGGGGCATACCACAAGGGCTCAGATTTAATGTTGCAGGGGCCAGAGTAAATCTGGTTTCCTAACTTTCGAGAATTTGCCATTGCCATGTGAATAATGTATTTTTAAATATATTTTATAATTTTCTCTGTGTGTATTCTTTGGGGGGGAGGGGGGGACCCAAACTTTTACTTACAACTTTCACCCCCCCCATCATGCATTGTCAGCCAGGTTTGAACTGTAAATCGTCAGTACAGACAGCTACCACTTGAGCTACAGGACTAACTGCATTAACTGGCAGCAGGAGAAGGCTATTATCCCAGAGGGCGTGGGGTGGGCCATTGGAGACAGGAGCCGGGGGGGTGGGGGGCGGCAATGGGGGAGGTGCTGTGACTCCCCAGTAGCTAAGGGTGCTTGGTCGGGGAAGCCCAGCCTGGAAACTTTTCCCCATTCCCTCGAAATCTGCCTTGGCAGCTCCTCCCAGGTATTGCTAGTACAGTGCCCTCTGTTGCTGCTCCAGTGGCAGCATTAGCCCAACCTCAGAATGTTCATGTGCAGTTGTTGTTTTGGGAGGCTGCCAAAATCTCTGTGCACGATGCAAACAGAAGAGAGGTGTGGGTTTTTTGTTTTTTTAAACAGTTTGTTTCAGCCAAACCTGAACAGAATGTCAAGTGACAAAGCAAAGACAGGTCCTAATCCAAGGGCTTGTGCCCTGCCAGATATCAAAGACCTTCTGAAAATGGAGATGTTCATATTTTTCAAAACAATGTTGCAACAGTAGCCTAGGGGTAGTTACTCATTCTCCCTGTGACAAAGCTGATAGGACATTCAATCCATTTTCCCCTGCACCCCCATGAGTACAGGTTAAATCCCACTCATCTTAATGAAACTCTCTTTCATTGGTGTGTTGGGTTTTTGCAATATTGACTGTTTTGATTGTGTGCTGCTGCCAGTGTTACCCGGAACTACTTGGATTGGCTGACATCCATCCCATGGGGTAAATGCAGCGAGGAGAACCTGGAGCTGAGCAGAGCTCAGGCAGTTCTGGAGGAGGATCACTATGGAATGGATGACGTCAAGAAGCGAATTCTGGTAAGGCAGTGTATGCCATTCTAGGTGGCATTGTGCAGCCTGGCTCATGGCTCTCTGTACAGTTTGTTTCCTCATGTGTCTAATGGGGGAGATGCATGAGCCTTGGTGGGGTAGGGTGGGTAGTGGTATATTTTAGTGCCTCTGACTGTATAAGGGTAGTTTGCTTATTACTGTTCAGTGATCTCAAACTAGAGCCCAAGATTTTTGTTCCCCCTCTATAGAATTGTCATTGACATCTAAAACAGTGGTTCTCAATGTGTGGGGCGCATCCCCCTAGGGGAGGCGCAGAGGAATGTTTGGGGGGGCATGTGGCCAGGTTGGGGCCAGTCCTCATAGGGAGTGGGGAGGGAGTGCCACACTTCCAGCCCTGCTCTGCCCCCAGACCAGCTCCACTTCCAACCCCATTCAGGCCCTTGTCCTGCTCCATCTCGAGGCCCAGCTCCACCCTCACTCCGTCTCCGTCCCCAAACCAACTCCGACCCCAGTCGCAGCTTCACTCCAGCTCTGCCCTCATCCCCTCTCCACCCCCAGACCAGCTCCTCCCACATCCCCAGCTCCTTCTTCAGCCCAGGCTCTGCTGCTGAGGAAGCTTGGCTGTGCAGTAATGGAAGGGGGGCGCGAACAGATTCCGTTACTGGTAAGGGGGGTGGGGAGCGGCGGTGGCGGCAACTGGAAAAGTTTGAGAACCACTGACCTAAAAGATTGTTCTTCTGATTTTAAACTGCTGTGTACCATTTTGCCACTGGGTGGCACTGAGCAAATGAGAAAACGCTGTAGGGAAATAGTTTCCTGATTAACCTTTATTCACTGCCCAGAAACGTCATTAATGCAGAGTTCAGGTTTACCAGCCGTGCCTCATGCCCTTCCAGAATGTAGAGTGCATCTATATTTAACCCTCTAAAATCCAGGAAACACAGAGCTTAAGGTACACACCAGGCTGCCCTTCCACCGTAGCTACCTCCTGCAGCTGGAAAAAGCTGCTGTGGATATATTGTAAGTATGTTTCAGCAAGGCTGCCCTATAATAAGCAGACATGAGCGAGAACTATGTAAATGTGCCATTTTTTTGTGTTGTACTGTGTCCCACAGAATTGCATTGTCATTCATCTGCATGCACTCCAACTAAACTGCACAGTATTAGGGTGGCTGTGTTGATTGGTGCAGGGGCCACTTGCATCGGGTAGCCACAGCTCACACTGTGATATGAGGATAGGTGCATCCACACCCAGAGACAGCAGACACATTGTTTCTGCACTGAGTTATGTGGATTGTGCAAGCAGAGGAGCGCAGTCGCTATTCTTGCCATGGTAGCACACTGGTAACATGCATGACAGAGCACTGAAGGGCACAGGTGAACGCTTGTCTTAAGGACTCCCTCTGGGACAAAGGGTAACTGTGGGGTGGGCTGTGCAGAGCAGGTTGAAGTGGCTGAGCATAAGCTCGGAGCAGCCAGCTGGTGTTCTCATTTCAGGCAGGCTTAGAGACTTTTGCCTTTGTGAGGACACAGTCTGACAGTTTCTTGTACTACATCCTCACGGCGCTCCTCCTCATCGGAAAGAATAGAGTGTTACCACGTCTGCCAGGGCAGTTAAGGTGTCATTCAGAGGGCAGAGTTCAGATTGTAGGGCAAGAATGATATATACCTTAACTATCTGGGGTACCCTGTGCTCAGACAACCTCAAACCACTTAGAGGCATGCTGCTTCAGCCTGTTGTGGACACACAGGCCCACACTCTGTGCAGCCGCCATCTATTACAGCAACTTGCTAGAACCAGAGAACCATGCTTCTGCAACTGGGTGAAACTGACAAGAGCTATGTCCTGCAGACTGAAACATGCAAGTATTGGTCCAGTTTCATTTTGCAGCAGAGGCAAGACATTTCTCTCTCTCTCTCTCTCTCTCTCTCTCTCTAACAATGGGGAAGTAGTTCAGGAACACTGAACAGTAGGGGCGGAGTGCACACTGACTGGGAGAGGCAGGTAAGAACCAGCGAGGGTAGGAGAGAGGCATAGAATCCCACTTCCTAAGTCACAGGGGAGAAGCGGCTCCGTCCCAGCAGACAGTGGAATTGCGGGGCTCCATATATAGATGTCAGCTTGTTGCCCCATGGGAGCCTGGTGTGCCCCGGCCAGGAGAGGATGTGCCGTAGGATCTTTACCAGCCCTCTCCTTCGAGGTTAATCTGAGGAGCTATTTCTTACCTATCTCCTTGGGTATAAATGGTGTCAGGTAAAGTCCTCCAGCCCTGCATTACTGAAAAACTTCCTCAGGGTAACTGTGATGTTCTTTTTCTCCTGGTTGAATGTGGGGCTGTGACTGTATTTGACTGTAATGCATTTTCTGTTGGTCAGGAATTCATAGCAGTCAGCCAACTGCGAGGATCAACCCAAGGGAAGATTCTTTGTTTTTATGGCCCTCCAGGGGTTGGCAAGACCAGCATTGCCCGCTCCATCGCTAGAGCCTTAAACCGAGAGTATTTCCGCTTCAGTGTCGGAGGAATGACTGATGTGGCAGAAATCAAAGGGCACAGGTCAGTTTAACTCAAGAATTTCTCACCAACGAGTTTTTATCAACCTTTACAGTGACCTAGTTGATGATGAAATGTGCATGTAATTTAAATTCCCATAGTCAGGGGCAGCAGGTTTGTATAATTTTTGGTGGTGCCAAGAATGGGTCCAAGTCCTGCCTCCCCACACCTGCCTTGTAAGCCAATATATATTTTTAAAAATAATGTAAAATGGTGAGGGCTCTGGGGTGGGGTGTAGGAGGGGCTCAGGCAGAGAGTTAGGGTGCAGGGCTGTGGCCAGTGATGAGGGTTCACAATGGAGGAGGGGGCTCAGGGGCAGAGGGTTGGGGTGTGGGGGCTGGGGGTGCAGGCTCTGGGATAGGGCAGGGCCAGGGATGAGGAGTTTGGGGTGCAGGCAGGCTGACCCCGGCTGGGGCCAGAGAGGAGGACTCCCTCCAGCCCTCCCGCACCAGCAGCAGTGAGCTCCAAGGAAGAGGCCCCCCTCTGTCCCCCAGCAGCACACTCACCTCGCCCCACTGTCACTGTACATGCTCCTAGGACCCCTCTCAGGTCCAGGAAGCCCCTTCGCCTCCCTTGTGGTGGGTGCTGGGAGGGCTGCCATCATGTGTGCGCCTCCTCCCCTGCTGCTGTCCCTCACTGTAGACTCGCTGGGGGTGGGGGATGGGGATGCCCCTTGCCCAGCGTGGGGCAGGAGCGGTGACGGGCAGGAGCGGTGACTGCGGGCGGGTGGTGGGGGGGGGGACG